CGTCGCGGCTGTATTTGTTGTAACCAGCCAACAGCCATTCTTTGCTCTTCGTCAGTGCAGTAAAGTTGCGAAAGTCGGCGATCCAGCCTTTGCCGTAGCCCATCCATGGTATGTCCGATGGTGGTGATGGTGCTGTGAGGAAGTGGTAAGCACTTGCGACGATCAGGTAGGTGATTGCTGCAGTGGCGACATGTGAAAAGGTGAAAAGGCCGTGAGGCTCAGCCTCTTGGCTTGAGTCTGCCATGGTAGGTATGATCGAAGCAGAAGCAAGGGGCGATGGACGGCATCCCATGTCAACACAGGGGCCGTCATATACTATTCATGATGATCGACCCGGGAAAGCACCGTCGCTTGGAGGAGATGCCCCGCTTCCGTGCGCACGGCGATTCGCGCACGCTACGTCGCACGACACGACTTGCATGCCCACATCCGTCGACTTTACTACCGACCTGCCATACCTGGCTGCTTATCACGATGTGCACCTTGCTTACTGTGTCAGTTGCAGCTGGAGATATTGCCGGGTAAATTAAGGTTCATTCGCTCCAGAGCTCTGACAATTACAGATCCGCGGCGCTACCGTCGGGTACGCTGCTCCCGAGCTCATGAGCGGAGCAGTCATAGACGGTCATGGCTTTCATCAATCAACGGTTTCGGCAAGACTGATTTTCACATGTCATTCAAGCCAAAAGCTCTCGACCACTATCTCGGCTACATGCCTCTGTTTGTTGCATGCATTTCAGTATAGTATGCTTCATGGGCCTTCGCTACCAACGTTCAAGTCAGGCGATTTCACTAGTGAGGTTTTCCTGTGGCGGTTGTCTGGAAGCACGAGAGGCTTAACAGCTCGGTGATGTTAATGAGGTTCCCAGCAGACTGTGTCGTACCTTTCGTAGCAGGTGAGCTATCCTTCATAGCTGACTCACTGCCGAGGGGTCGAGTATGACCCGCTATGTCCAGCTTCTCGGTGGGTCGATCAATTGCAAGCACAGAGCGACTGCTAACGCCAGGCTCGCTTCGGTCTTCCGCGTCCATAGTGTTCTTGGGCACTTAGTCTATTATTGCTCGTAGCGTGATGCTGTAAGTATGCTCTGGAGGTCAAGTCGGAGAAGAGCAGAAGCTGATTCATACCGCGATGTTATGTTCCATACGCTCAAACTACTTTCGTCTACGCACAACGTCTGCCACAAACACAGCGCGTATTCGGAATCTGAAGGGCCGTAACGAAGCTAGCAGCATTAACAATACTGTGGTATTCCATTTTGTTTGCTTACGATGTTTCCATTAGGCTATAGACAAAAACGTACTCGCCTAGGCACTCGCTTCCCATGTCTTATATCTGCTAGCCAGACGTAGCATGCACTGTTGTGTCACACATCGAGTCCGTGTGTAGACTGCTGATCACACATAGAACTGCGGACAGAGCCAAGATTCTCTTGCGATACTGGATAAGACGTTCGAGGCCGCATCCTTTTCCAGAGAAGACCAATGTGTCCCGGAGAAGCTGGGGATCTCATAAGGTACCAACGCTCATAGTCTCCCGAATTTCCATGTATGACCCTCTTGGAGAGGATGGCACTTGTAACTAACTCGAGATCGTTTCTAGAGAGAAGTCTGATTGCATCGAAATTGCTCCCGGGGGCGTGAGGTGACTCGGTATCGTCGTCGAGGTAGAGCTTCATGTCTTTGGCCATCATATTCGACACACAAGTTTCCAATAGAAAATATCCTCGGAGACGTTCTTGTGTAGCAGGCAAACTGATGTTCTTCCAGCTGTCCTCATCTTCGTAGAATGAGAACGTGAGACAAGCGATATACAAGCGAGGCAAGAGCGCGAAAGCGGCTGGAAACTTTGCAAACATGTCCGGAATGTCTAGGGTCGACGTAGGAATCGCGATCTCGACATGTGTGATCTGGTCGATTCGAGTGGGCATTTTGATGCGGAGCGGTGCATCATGAGTTTTGTCCCACGTACTCATTACGTCTTTGAGGAAGCGCTGCATGTTTCGGACGATCTCGGTTTCGGCTTCATCGTGGAGCGTTTTGCAAGAGAGGATAAGAGATTGGTAGTCTGCGATATGGCCGTTGAGCGGAGGCGACATCTCGGCGTACATTTTGAGGCGTAGCTCGGCTGGTAGGCCTAGCAATGAAGCGGCCTTTACGTCGTTCGTGTTGGTGTGAGGCACATTGCGACCGTGAAAAGGGGCATCCATGACAGCCACTGAGGACACACTATGGGTTGGCATTATGTGGTGGAAGGGTAAGATTATCTGTGCTGTTGTATCGACGTTCTCTTTCAGGAACCTGTTGTAGTGTTTATGGCTAGCTAGCTGTGTAGCAGCCTGGGGCAGGACCCAGGCACCACGCACTCCGCCGAATTTCGCTGGTTTCGCATTGAACAACAGGCGGGAAACGACGTCGTCCCTAGGTAGCGAAGGCAAAAGAAGATTTACATTAGCAGAAGGCGAAACGGGTCAACAGTGGGGCAATACGTGCGGTCAGCAATTACGTTCTGCTTCTGATGTATTGACTTGACTTTTTGGTATCTGCACTCCCGGTAATGTATGGGCTGTGGGATCTCGCGATCGCCGACACTACCGCATCTTGGTAGTCCTCGAGTATGAGGCCATTCGCTGTCGGTCGTAATGATGCGGATGCCCCAGCTGTTGGCGGGCGCGTGTTCTCGACGGACTAGACCTCGGGAGCTGTGACGTCACACCCAGCACGTGCCAGCAAGGCTATCCTCCGGCGCGCCTCCCTAAGTAATGGTTCCTCACGTTATCACTTCACAATCAAAACACCATCAGATGAAGTCTGCCGTGGTATGAAGCTCAATTGGTAGCCACCTAATCGCATGTCGACATCCGCGGGGACCGGGGTTGGGCAACAAGGGATTGCCTATTGTAGCCTAGCATGCATTCAGCACTGCGGCACAGTAATCGTATCCGACATGTCTCTCCAGTCATAAGACGGCCTTGTCCACGATGTTTGCGATTACTCTCTACGAGTTTTGATCCCTACATTCTCCCATCTTTGAGCTTACGTTTGAGACCCGCACGCGCAGCTCAACACACCTGAAACATTCATAATATATATACCACTTCGCGATCACGATGCAAGCCAGCTCATCTACGAACGTACCATCGGGTACCGGGAGACTCGAGGCATTTTGCGCTTCACTATCGGCACTCACACAAGCTAATCGGGCACGTCTCGCCGGCGCGGGTGGTATTCCTACTACTACGTCTGTTTCAGCTCAAACCGCCGAATTGTCTAGCAAAGGCAACGGCAAACGTAGAAGACACGATTTTTATAGCAAGACACCAAAGACGCGAAAGACGCGCACACTGAAAGACCTTGTGAGGGTATGCAAAGAGCTCGGAGACACGAGTGACAAATCGCAATTGCTTGATCGGTGGAAGACGGTGCGCAAGTGTGCTCACCATGTCAGATTGCGATACATTACACACGAGCTCGTGCTTGAGCTGGAACAACTCTGTACAGATCTCAAGACCCAAGGAGGAGCTTCCGGCAAAGTCCGGGATCTTGCCAGAGAGCGGTATTGGGAGGCTGATTCGCCTCTAACAAGCAAAGGTATGTTGAAAAGCTTTCACCTACTAAGATATTGGATATGTGCTTATTGCTATGATCAGAAAACCCACTAGAAGAAGATGCGCTGGTGTCTCACTGGACCCCACTCCAACTCAAAAGCTGGGCTCTTTACTTGGAATCTCAACTCCTGTTCGCCAGTTTCGGTGTAAGAATCAGCCTTGTTCAATACGAACATCTCTCAAACAAAGGCGAAGATAAGACGGCTGCGTCGTTTTGGATCGCTGTCATGAAAAGGCTCGATACCCCTGGACGTCATAAATACCTGGGCCCTGCTGTGGATGTTATCGATACCTATTTTGGCGATGACTGGGACTTAGCATCAGAAGTCAGTGATTCAGACGATTTGGACTCTAATCTTGACGACGACGACTACGCATGGTTCGCAGGTTACAGACTCAGCCCAAACGTCGACATCCCCATAGCGCGTTTTACATCACGCGTTTGTCTCGAGTTGAAACGAATGGCCCAGGTACCGCGCGGCAATGTCAGAGCCTTTCCACTTGCTCTCATATTGCGCATGGACGTTTTGGGAAGAGCGCGACTGAACTTGTTCGAGCGCTCCGTGCCGGTCGATGAAATAGAGGCATTCCTCCAAATTCTACTGAGCCAGGAGCCCAGAGCCGAGCCGTATCCAGAACGCCCGCTGGACTGTGCCCATGCGTTTCTCTATCTAAACTATTTCATCACGGGTGAAACATTCGGTAAGATATCAACTTAAACACGTAATCACATCAACTAATTTGATATGTCCTTGTCAGGTATGAATGCCCTCCATTTCCAGGGACCTCTCATCAATGCCTTGTTACCACTCGTGTCGCGCGATTTGCGGCGAGAGTATCGACGGAATCTCAACCTGGCTTTTGGTCGACGATTACCAGCTGAACTGTACGAGGAGATACTAGATCGCATCGAAAATGCGCATGATCTTCCCAAGGACCAAGCAGACTGGAAAGAAAAGTTGAAACTGATGCAAATCCACTGGGATCCTTTGTCGATTAATGGTCAACCATTCGAGTTCTGAATGGTGACATTAATGCATGTTTCTATCGTTTCAGGTTTTGCTGAATACCAAGGCCCATAATTTGGGCAGATGGCTATAGAGATGGAAAGAACCTTTACATTACTGTACACCTGTCTTCAGTATTCTTATTCACTCTCATACGAAAAATGCACAGGAAAAGGGAATCTGGAATAAAGACTAATGATGTGATATTGCTATGATACAGGATTGAACCACATCCACCAGGCAAGCAGAAAGTTAAAGGGGTGTTCTACTAGAGAACCCGTGCCCAAGAAAACAGAGGCTCACTAATGCAACGCCTCGCTTATAGACACAAAGAAGGGGAAGTATACACAAATCTCCGAGTAAATCTAGCACACGAGCTAGCTTCTTAGACACACTGGGAGTACCAGTCGTTGGCAGCCTTGCAGCTACCCTTGGCGCAGCACTTAGCACCGGTGAAGCCCTTGCCACCGCACTGTCCGTACATGGAAGCGCAGCCAGCAGCGGGGGTAGCCTCCTTGGTAGGGGCAGCAGGAGCGGGAGCGACAACAGTGGCCATGGTGGACTTAGCAGGGGCAGCGGGGGCGGCAGGGGCAGGGGAGACCTCCTCCTTGGCGGGAGCAGAGGAAGAGCCACCAGCGGCAGCACCACCCTTCCAGACAGCAGGGCCGGGCATGGGGAAGGCCTTGCGGCCGTTGTAGATGCTGAAGTTGGCGTAGGGGTCGGTGGCCTTGTAAGCACCGGGGAACTTGACCATGGGGCCAGGCTTGCCGCTACCACCACCGGTAACCTTGACCTGCATGCAGGAGACGTAGTGCTCGGGCTGGTTGACGTGGGAGCGGTGAACACCAATGTGCTCGAAGCGGACGAGGTACTCGCCGTCGGGGGTGTCCTTGGGGATGGTGGCAGTGACAGTGTCCTTGTTGTAGGTGCACCAGGAGTTGCTGGTGAAGTCACCGCTGCCGCAGTCACCCTCATCGAAGATCTTGAACCAGTCGCCAGATCCGTCGTAAGACTGGACGCTGCCGGGAGCAGCGGACATGTAGACCAGGGCAGGGCCCGGGTGCTGGAACTTGGCACCAACACCGAGCTTGGCGGTAACGTCGTCGCCGGCCTTGACGGTCAGGACCTGGACCTTACCACCGGTCTTAGCGGCACCCTGGTTGCAGACGATGTCGGGACCGTCGGCGGTGGAGCCATCACGGATGTCGGCGGCCGGGTTGGAGGAGAACTTGATGGGGTTGTACGCGACCTTGCGAGTGGAAGGGCGGACGTATTTGAATTGCGGCTGGGCAACACCACCAATGAGGTTGGTGTCAAAGAAGTAGTGGGCGGTGGCCACTTGGGCGACGGCGCTGAGAACGATGGCGGAGGCGGAGAACTTCATTCTGGCTAGCAGTAATGAAATTTGTGTAGTAATTGGTAAAAAGAAGCGAAGGAACGAATGTAAAGTGCTGAAAAGCGAGTGTAGAAAGCGATTGAAATGAATGTATTGCTTGCTGGTGAGTTGTAGATGTTGGACGGTCGTCCTGATTCTTATATCAAAAGTCCTCCGCTCATTGTACCAAACATCTTCATGCAAGCCAGGCGCCTAGACACCGGTGACCTGGTTCCCAACGGACGACAATTTCCCGTTGTAGCAATTCCAGGAGATAGGATGTTGGTTTCATCGACAACTACAGTCTTCCTTCCGTGATTGTGGGTGTTCTGGATCTCTTGGGAAGTGGACATGACCGTGATCCTTAGGCCGTTCTAAGCGTAGCAGCGCTTGTGAAAACATGCGACTCATTGAAAGGAGGCACGGAAGCTACTGGTTCGGAAAGTAAAGTCAATGCGGATGTGATTTCTACGGGTCCTGCCAAGGTCGTTTACTGACACTTCACTGCAGTCCGCGATGTGGCGAAACACTGGTCTCCTGTGTGGAATGCTTGACAGGCGTAGCGCCGTTTCGTTTATAAACACTTGACGCCCATTTCGTCCAGAAAAGTGTTAGAAAGAGGAATTCCATGGCTGTGATTCGGTGGTTGCGTGCACGGACCAGGAGTTGAGTGCCGGTGGTTATACTTCGTAACGTACGGGCCGCTGTCTGTCAACACCAGCTCCACCCGATGCCGATGCCTAGCATGCCGTGTGGAAAGTTTGCGCGACCGCCGTCGTTGCCACCATGTCGGACCCGCTAGTGGAGCAGAACATGGACGTCGGGAGCTGCGCGCAAACGATATCAGATCGTTCAGAGAGTGACCGCGATAGACCCGCTGACAGGTGCCAAGTTATGTGAGATTCTGTGAGAACTCTTGAAGTCTCTTGTGGCGTGACAAGCCGGAAATTTGATTGCAACGTCCGGATAGCGTTTCCTTGTGTTGCCCAGGTGTGGTACACAATCTGCGGTGCATGAGCATTGGATACGTTAGATACGCGATAAGGCAGAAATTTCACTGCAATGCGTTTCATCTGGCAAGAGAAGGGAACGGAGTGGGGCTGTTCAAGGAACAGCTAGTTGTGACATGTAACCCAGTTCATGTCATTTCACAAGGAAACACTCCGTTTGGCTGGGTCTCTTTTCCTCGGGTTCGACCAGCACGCTCGGGTAGTGAGCCGAACGCGAGCGCCTCGCTTTCGTTGTATCCGATATTCTCATTGATGGAACTCCTGGAATCCATGCCGTTCAGCGCGTGGCCACTGCGCCCCCTGATCCCTCTGTCGTTGGGCGGAACCGCACGTCACTCAGGGATGTTCTCTCAGTCTGGGCACCCGCCTTATCCTCCGTAACATGCATGCCGTACAAGATTTCTGTGCCTGGTATGATGATATCTTCGGAGCGCGTTGTCTTGTCTCTTCCATCATCCTCTTTCTGTAGACCAGGAAGGCTGAACTTCATGTTTTTGGAGTTCACTTTGCCTTCCACCACATAATCAAGGAAAAGGCGATTCGGCCTTGACTTCATGTCGCCGTAAAGAAGCTCTTGGTCGTAGTCATCTGCATGGTTGTGAGGAGCTAGTCTCACATTGAGTTCGTTCAGATATAGAGGGAAAAGCCCAGCGACTGCGTTATAGCAACAGTGGGATCCTCGATCCGCGCGCGGTACTCGTACAAATACTGTCACAAGACGTAAGATGTGAAATCGAGGCGTGGATGATACCACACAGACAACCATGCTTGGCTCGTAGCGACAGGGTTCTGCATGCTCGTTGACGTAGTTGTCGAGATCGAAGGCAGGACTAAGTTTGTCCAACATATTTTTCTGCAGCTGCCTACAGCTGAAGAATTCCTCAATGAAGTCGATACCAAGCTCGGGCGAGATATGCATGTCATGGCATATCAACAGGCGTACTTACGAGGGCAGTGAGAGCAAGCGACTTGCTGACTGAATACTCATGGGGCGAATCGGTAGATTTATTTCCAAAAACCTCATCTCTGTGACAGCTGCGCTATGCGCGACTCTGACTGTATTGCCGCTCAAGTTTACCCGTGAGATCATAGTTGAGAGTTCATCATTGTCGGCTGGGTGGATTGAAAGGGAAGAGGGATCTGACATGTTGGTGGGTTTTCCCAGGCGTGTATGCATGAATGATAAATCGAGTGCGCCTTTGACTCAGACTGCGGTCTGGTCCTTCGGGTAGGTCATTGAGATGGTACTTTGGTATACGCTATAATTGCGATAGCTTTGATGTGTGTATGAATGATGGGGGTCTACGCGTCGAAGTTTTCTCTGGCTTCGATGTCTGAGGTGAACCAAAGTTGAAGAACCAACCGAATCTGACGCTCACAATCAACACGTGGTGGTGGCTGATAAGAAGTGAAGTGGTACGGTACTTCCATGTATGGGAACCGCTAGACTCCTTTAGGCTAGACCAGTCAAGACAAGCAAAATCATCGGGGCATCTGGGACACTCCTCTATGTCCTGGGCTTTACTGCTACGCAACGATAGCATATTTCCGTGAGAGGATCTCGAACAGCTTTGTGTTGCATTTGCGACATTCACGTGGTGCAGTCGACCCGCTTTTGTGAGTTGGCATGCCATGCGCTGTCGGACTTTCCACTTTCAGATGTCGTTGTCAGCTTTTGGAAAGATAAAAACCAGCATACCACCCTACGTGGTTGGGCTACGAAGCCATAGCATGGCGGAGAGATTTATTGAATCAGATGATATGATGCAAGAATTAGAAAAAAGTTTGAAACATCAAGTTGGGTGAAAGGAAATTGTTGGTTCAACATCAGCTAAGAGTGGTGTATATAGCATCGCCCAACAAGCGCATACGAACATCATGACAAAACAACATAATCTACCAAGTAAAATCATCGCTCAAGGGCCTAGTGCTTAACTTGCAATATCACACTCTAGAACTCACCGCCGCCACCTCCAAGCGCAGCAGCACCCCAGATCCCCACCAGCCCCCAAACACCCACTCTCCATCCACGCCACAACCCATGCATACCCTGACCCTTCCTTGTACGCGGTGGCCTAGAGAAACCCATCGCCTTTGCACTCGCCGCCTTAGCAGCATTCGGTGTAGAAACACTTATGCCTTCCTCACGGGCGATAAACCACATAGTACCCAGCACACCCCTGTATTGACCCGGCTCCACGATGGTCTTGAAGCTCTGGTCAGAGGAGCTTGGTTTGTCCAGACCATACGCTGGGCTCTTGGCGCGGCTGGGTGGGGCCTGGTACTCAGATGCCAGACGCTGGGTTTCGTGGTCCTGGAGTGCGGCGACCTGGCCGCGGCGAAGGACGGTCTCGAGAGGAAGGCGGATAAAGAGCTCGGATATGGAGGAGAGGAAAGTGCTGAAGGAGTAGGTGGTCGGTGTAAGGATAGGATCGATGCTCAGGGTTGAGCGGAGGAAGAGGGGTGTTGAGGAGGAAATGAGAGTGGGGACGCAGGCGTGCATTATGGTAGCTGGGAGGAGGCTGGGGGCGACGGAGAAAGAGGGCAGAAGGGAAAGGCATGGGTATATAGATCGTGGAGAGGATGAGATGGGGGTGATGATGAGGCGTGTGCGCACCATGTCGAGGGGTGCGAGGAGGGTGGCTGCGATGGCTGTAGCAGCGACAGCAACACCAAGGGACGTCAGCGGGCTTGGACTGTCCAGGATGTCTAGCCCCCCAATCCCACTTCCTGCTGAGCCTACAAGACCTGGGTCAGGTATGTTCAGCAGAGCTGATATCAGACTCCTGAACCAGCCCTCAGTCGTCTTGAGCAGGAAATTGTAGATGAAAGTGCAGTTGGTGCCCTTCCACACACCCCACGCAGACTCCTTCTGCCACAATTGTCCTATCACTTCGAGGAGTGAGTCTGGACGCTTGAGATCTAGTTTCCGTACGGCGGATGGTGGGGGGCGTGTGGGTGTTCGTGACCGGGATCGGCTATCGAGGCGTCGCTGGCGTCGTCGTGGAGACCTCGATTCTGAGACGCCCGATCGTGAGACAGACGGTGAATATGGCGACGGCGACGTGGGGTTCATGCGCGGGGCAGTGGATGTGAAGTAGCCCGGTGAGTCCTCGTCAGACTCCTCATCAGAGGGCGGATACTGCATCGATTAGCCCACATTCACATGTCAAGAGCCCCTCCAGTGCCCAATACATACATCCTCAAACTTTCCGCTTGCGAAGCTCTGGGGTCTGCTCTTGTGGCCAAACTCCTCCCCCGTCAAGCCTGCCAATTGTCCCTTTGCCTCGTGTATCTGCAAGATCGTCTTCGCGACCTCGAATGGTTGGGCGAGCAGGACGCTCGTGTAATTCCACAGAGCATGATCGAGCAGCTTCTTCGCATGCCCGGCTACCGTAGGCGAGGCTTCTGGGAAGTACGAGTCATAGTCTAGGTCGGAAAGAATGTCGCGTGCCTGGCTGCCCAGACTCGATTTGCTACTATTGCTGGGCTTGAAAGCGGGCGGTAATGACGAGGACGTCTGGTTCTGCGGGACGTCGGGCGGCGGGCCAATAGATGGCGGGATGTAGTAGGGTCGTAGGGGATTCGGGGCATCGCGAGAGGTCGCCATTCTATCAGTCGTTTTTGAGGTAAAGATTACGTGAGGCTGGCGATGTTTATCGTTTTCTTACCCGCGGTGGTGGATGCGCTGGGTAGATCGACCGGGGTCACGCATGGCCTGTGCGTCAACATTTCTGACGTCTCACAGCATTTGGAATTATCGGCGCATTCACTCGTTGTGACACGGCAAACACTGCAACCCCTTCGCTTCCGTGTCTCCTTCTCCTATTAGACTCCAATCTCGGCCGGCTAGCGAGCATCAATTCGGCGTCATGGCTGCTAGAAGAGCTTGTGTCAACGCCTTGGAGGGGAGGATAGCGGGCGCAAGAGGCGCATCGTCGAGTCCGAGGAGGTTCGCCAGTACTTCGATAGCAGCGACATGTCGGAGATCGATTCAGACACAGACAACGGCAGCATCTACACTATCAAAATCGACTATCGTCAGAGCAACAAGCCCGTCATGGCTTCAGAGTCGCCGCCAATTCTCCTCATCGCCCGCATCCCGCCACGGTCATCTGGACCCACCCCGACCGGGTGAAGAGTGCGTCAAAACATGTCCCAACTGTAGCAACTTCAACCACTGACGCCTTCTAGACGCAAAGTCACATTTGTAGACAAGGATGGCCATGCCTCCACATTCGAAGTAGCCGACGGCGACAACCTCCTCGACATCGCACAAGCCAACGACATAGAAATGGAAGGCGCATGCGGTGGATCTTGCGCATGCTCAACATGTCACGTCATAGTCGAAGACGAAGCCTACTACGACAAGATGGAGGAGCCGGATGATGACGAGAACGACATGTTGGATCTGGCCTTTGGACTTACCGAGACGAGTCGCCTGGGGTGTCAGGTCAAGATGAGCAAGGAGCTCGATGGCCTGGTTGTGCGACTGCCGAGCATGACGAGGAATCTGCAGGCCAGTGATTTCGACAGCAAATGAAAAGACTCGGGAGAAGAGTCGTGACTTCCGCAGGGGATTTATCTTGGGAGATATTGCAGGACATCTGTTGGAAGGCATTATGGGTCATATCGCATACAGCATTTGAGACGACATGTATTATACGAACACTCCGCTTGCAGATGAACTGGCGTTGAGTACGACTCTGAACTTATGTATAGTATATGGTATCATGAACATATCCAAACTACGTCCCTTTTGTCCCAAACGCCGAGTTGTGCATATAGAATCGCCCTCAGGCCTCCACGCTACCCTCCTTCTTCTGTCCTCCTGTGATCATGTCGAGGAAACCCTGCTTGCTCATCTCCTTGACCTTCTCCTCCCTCTTGTCCATGCCGACGACCATGCCCGCCTTGCTCTCCCTCTCGGCTTGTTCACCCTTGACCTGCGCCGCTCGTACGGCGTTGAAAAGCTTGATGACACCCTTCTGTGCCGTCCGCCTGAGCTCCTTCTCCTTCGCTGATGTGGCGGCTGTGCTGACGTTGGGGTCGTTAAGGCCCAGAACGTCCTTCACACGGCCCTTTTCTTGTGCCGCCTTCCTCTCAGCAACAATCTGTCGTCGCGCCTTCTCACTGAGCTTGGAGTCGGCGAGCTCGCGGTTGGCGGTTGCGGCGTCTTTGCTGCGGGACAGAATGGGCTCGGAGCGTTTCGATGTCGTCAGCTTCGAACCAAGAATCTTGGAGATGGAGTTGGCGAAGGCTTCGGGGTCGTTCCGTTTCCGTACTTTGCGCGCGGCCGTGGTTGAGGTCTCGGAGGCATCTGATTCGGAGTCGGCAATCGAGAACTCATCCGCCTCAGGCTCAGAGTCATCCATTTCGTCCACATCGTCTTCGGCGTCGCTGGGTAATGGCGCTTCATGGTCGACGGGCGCAGTCTTCTTGAGTGCCGACTTTGCCGGGGCCTGTGCAGGTATGCTAGCCTTGAACTTGGGCTCAGGTTTCTGCGCGGGCGCTGCTTCAACTTCCTCTTCGTCGTCGCTGGCCGAAGACTCCTCTGCCGCTGCTGCTTGCTGTGCCGCCTTCTTGGCCTCGAACTTCGCTTGTTTCCTCAGCTGCTGCTTCGAGAGTTCTTGCTTTCCAGGTAACGTCGCATTGACACCAGACGGCTGGAATGGCTCCTCGGGCTCCTGGCTGCTTCCGCGCAATGGAGCATCGCGCGCGCCGCCTTCCTCCTCGCTCGAACTGTGGTAGTTCTTCTGCTTCTTGACCTTTCTCTTCTCCTTCTTAGGCACCTTTCCGCGCAGCTGCTCCTCGGTCCGTCTCCGTTTCAGCGATGTGTTGACCATTGTGGCTGTGAAAGTCGGGTTGTGTGAATGCTGCAGGTAAATCGCGTCGCAGAAAAAAGTTCCAGGCGATCGGCGTTAGTAGCCCAAATGGCCGACGGCAAGCGCGCCCCGCCATAGTGGATTCCCCACAGAACACCACGAGAGGCACACCAACGAACACCCACAACCCTACCCCTACCATCATCTCTCCCTACCAACCGCCGCTATGGTGCTTCAGGATCTCGGGCGGCGCATCAATGCCGCCGTTACCGACCTCACGAGGTCGCCCAACCTCGACGAGAAGGTGCGCGCCCCGAGCAGGCGACTGATGATAGGTGGCTAACATGCGCAGGCCTTCGAAGCCATGGTCAAGGAGATCTCCAACGCCCTCGTCGAAGCCGATGTCAACGTCAAACTCGTCATGAACCTGCGCCAATCGATAAAGAAGGCCGTCGACTTCAAGCACCTCGCGCCGGGCGTCAACAAGAAGCGCCTCATCCAGAAGGCCGTCTTCGATGAACTCGTCAAGATGGTCGATCCCCATGCCGAGCCCTTCAAGCCCAAGAAGGGCAAGTCCAACGTCATCATGTTCGTCGGTCTCCAGGGCGCGGGTAAAACGACGACGTGTACAAAGCTGGCGAGATGGTACCAGGCAAGAGGCTTCAAGGCCTGTCTGGTGTGCGCCGACACTTTCCGTGCCGGTGCCTTCGACCAATTGAAGCAGAACGCGACCAAAGCTAAGATCCCATACTACGGTAGCCATACACAGACCGACCCTGTAGTCGTGGCGGGCGAGGGTGTGGAGAAGTTCAAGAAGGAGCGCTTCGAGATCATCATCGTGGATACCTCGGGACGACACAGGCAAGAGAAGGACCTCTTTGACGAGATGGTACAGATTCAGAACGCCGTGACGCCCGACCAGACCATCATGGTGTTGGACGGAACAATTGGACAGGCTGCTGAGTCGCAAGCACGCGCTTTCAAGGAGGCCGCAGATTTCGGAGCCATTGTCATCACCAAGACCGACGGTGCGGCAGCAGGAGGTGGTGCCATTTCCGCCGTCGCAGCAACACACACACCCATCGTCTTCCTCGGTAACGGCGAACACATGCTGGATCTCGAGCGTTTTGCGCCACAGGCTTTCGTCTCGAAGCTGCTCGGCATGGGAGATGTCCAAGGGCTCGTCGAACACGTACAATCTCTCAAGCTCGACCAGAAGGACACAATGAAGCACATCACCCAGGGTATCTTCACAATCAAGGACCTGCGGGATCAGCTCTCCAACATTATGAAGATGGGGCCGTTGTCAAAGATGGCGGGCATGATTCCTGGACTCAGCAGCATGATGGGCGGCATGGACGACGAAGAAGGTGGCACAAAGTTGAAGCGCATGATCTACATCTGTGACAGTATGACTGAGAAAGAGCTGGAGTCGGACGGAAAGATGTTCGTCGATCAACCCACGCGTATGACACGTATCGCCCGCGGCTCTGGTACCTCGGTCCGCGAAGTCGAGGAACTGCTTACTCAACACCGCATGATGGCAGGTATGGCGAAGAAGATGAAGGGTGGAATGGCAAACATGCAGAAAGCACAGGGTGCGATGGGTGGAGGCAACAAGCAACAACAGCTCGCGGCTATGCAGAAGCGTATGCAAAGTATGGGTGGCGGCGCAGGTGGTGCAGGCGGCGGCATGCCAGATATTGGCGCTATGATGAAGATGATGGGTGGAGGAGGCGGCGGCGGCGGTGGCGGCATGCCCGATCTATCCGCGCTCGGTGGCATGGGAGGGGGAGGTATGCCCGATATGGGCGCCTTGATGAAGATGATGGGTGGTATGGGCGGCATGCCAGGTATGGGCGGAGGTGGTGGAGGTGGGCAAGGAAAGGGACGGAGGTAGTATCACAGTTAAGAGGATACCAGTTTGCGCTTTTCGATGCATAGCCGCGGCGTTCGGGTTTGATATCATATCTGGAGGGGTCTCTGTGTTGAGGTACACATGTTATGTCACTACTTCCACCTGCTTCCTTCTCTGACCTTCTGTCTGAGTAGCAATTGTCTTGCTTATGTTTGGTTTAGAACAAGGGCTTCCGTTGATGCTCAAGGAGTGAGGCGCGTCTCGTGGCGGATACTTTGACCTGCCCGTGGACATGTTCTGAGAGAAAACGCTGGGTAATGTAGGCCCCTAGAGGTCATTTCATTGTTGATGAGACATCACTATAGCACTGTTTAGATATGCTGATCGTAAACTTCTCACTACAACATGCCCATTCACCCGCGCCCGTGGGCCTACTTAACCCTGACTCTTTATTCTTCTAAACTTCCCGACTAACCCGCACCTCCACACCCAAATCATCAGTGCCAACCCACCCAAATTCACCAAAAATGTCTGTCCCAAGCAAGCAGACACAAGAGAATTGCGAAGTTTCAGATCCATCAACGCATCAAGACGATCTCTCGGATCTGCTAGCTGAACACCCATTCGGTCACATAATCCCGAAGCGCGGAGCCCACGAAGTCCACGAATTACAGGGCGTATCAATGAACCGCAAAGACGTCGTAGATCTACTAGACGCTTACGCAGCCCTAGACATCTGGTTCTACGTCCCCAACCCCCACTCTGACCTGAAACAACTAGAAGCCAACTTCTACCTAACCGACACCAACATCTCCGCCACCAACACGCGCCATGTCGTCGTCCTAGTCCACCATTTCCTCCTTACCGTAGCCACATTGCCCCACTTGGATACTCTCGTTATTAATACAGACGTTCCAGAGTCAGCGACCCAGTCGCCAGAGACTGAGCTGCTCCAAACGCGGTTTATCAAGGAGATTATGCGGGAGGTTTTTGCGTGGTTTATAGGTGGTGGGGAGAAGTTTCGAGTTGTTTTGTGTACCATGGGGGAGACGGATGTTGGGGGTGGTTTTAGGCATGTTTTAAGAGAGGCTGACGGGGAGAAAGCGGGGATGAGCGTGAGCCCTTGGGAGCAAAAGTTTGGAGGAATGAAGAGAAGCGGGATTGTTTGGCGGAGGGTGGCATCTTCTGCGATCTCGATGCCGAGAAGAGCTTCCGTGTAAGCGGGTTGGTTGCCTGGGAAGCGGGGAGAAGACAAGATGTAACTGATGGAATGTGGATGTGTGGTAGAGCCTGTATAGGCTTTTTGAATGATACGAGACGTTGAAATTGCCGATAGCTACTGTATTGTTTATTATATTAGCTCCTCGCCTTTCTTGTCCATGTCTTTCTGCTGTGCCTGTTCTTTCTGATACTCTTCAAAGTCAAAGCCTAGCTCCTTCACATCTCTAATCTCCCTCCTCTTCTCCCCCATCTTTCCAAATGCCTGCCGTATCTTAGGGAAGTTCTCGCGACACCAGTACTCCCACTCGCCCCACATCGGTGGTGTCTTTCCCTTGCCTCCGTTTTCCAACCCATCCTTGCTCTCAGCGCTCAATGCCCACTTACTCATTGCGTTGATGTAGTTGGCATCTTTGGGGAACGGCAAGAGATGGAAGTTCCGTCCTGCACCCATTTCCTCCTCGATGCTTTGCTCCCAGTCGCGCATTTCAGAATGTGAGGGGAGCGAGAGACGGCCGGAATATACGCGTGCGAGGACGGCAGATTGCACTTCTGCTACTGGGAAAGGGATAACGCGTTGATTGAGGGCGAGGAAGCTTAGGGTCGGCCGAGGGGCGTAAAAGACATGCTGGTATGTATGGTTTACTCTTTCGCCGGTGGTAATGAGTTTGGGCTCTACGTCTTGCAGGAAGGGTAGGCTGTAGAAGTATCCGGTAGCAAAAACTATGGCATCGATGTCGTGTTCTTCTGTTCCGTCTTCAAGCATTACGCCTCTACTGTTAGGAAGAAACTGTTTGATAGGCGGAACTTCTCGTCTCTTCTGGTCTTCGCCTGCTGTTCCGTGGGTTGCGCTGAACATGGACTGCGATCTTGTGGACCACAAGAGCGGCGTTTGACAGAACTCAGCGATCTGGGCGCTGACGTCTGCGCCAGACGCTGAGTTTCCCACCACTATTGTCTTCTTTCCGGTGAAGTCCTCGGGCTTCCGGTAATATTTCGAATGGTTAATGCGACCGGGGTGCTGTGCAGCCCACTCTTTGATACCGGCCATGGGTGGGATGTAGGGAACTATAAAGTGGCCATTTGCTACTACAACTGCGTCATAGACTTCGGAAGTATCTTCGTTCGTAAGTAGATTACGCGTAGTTACTTCCCATGGGCTGCTGGCGACATCGAGGTCCACTGGACTGACATTGATGACTTGTGTACAGTATCGAACGAGGTCTTGCACATCCGCGGAGTAATCGTCGATATATTTAAGTACTGTCTCATGAGTAGGAAAGAGTTGACTATCCGCGGGCCAATCCAGGTCTTGGAAGCCCATTAGTCCTCTAGGTATATTCGTTTCGAGCTTTTCGTACATTGGCGACAAAAAGGAGGGAATTTTCGAAGTTCCGTTGATGCCATCCGTATCAATGTTCCCATTCATTACTGCATCTTTGGATTGCCACTCTGGTTTTTGAACGTCTTTATTGGGGTTGGTCTGAGGTATGTCGAAGAGATTCTCGTCCCGCTGTTCGCCTGTATATATCCAGATCCCACCTGATCGACTCCGTTGTTCAAACAGCACGATCTTATCAAAAGCCTTCTCAGCTCGGAGGTATTTTGCTGCCGCCACACCCGATGGTCCAGCGCCTACAATGGCTATCGTCCTAGCTCTTATTGATGTTCTACTGCTATCGGAAGACATCGTAGCAGATTTTATTGGGGCGAAAGAACGGGAGCGACGAAACAATAGCGAAGTACGCGCAGACGCAGCAGAAGTTCCAATCATAGGGTATCTCGAAAACAGCAAGGAGACCATGGGAAGGAGTTGGTGACATGGAATGACGCCGAGACATTGGAAAGCGAGGATCGGAGCTCTTCGGAATGGCCTTCCGATCGGAACTACCGTAGGCGGAGCTGACGCGCATTATCGACCTCGGGCAGCTTCATGTGACGTGAGCTTGCGCACACCACGAGCGGTCAACTGATGATTCGGCCCTACCGAAACTCTATTAACTCACACGTCTTGACCGATACACCCCTCATTCACGTAGTCCTCTCCTGTCTTATTCCTCTCCAGCAATGCTACGCACACTGCGACTTGCACGCGTTTCACCAGCCCCACGACCAGTCCGAAGCTTCTCAACCAAGATTGCAGCCATGGCACCACTGCGCATCGGCTTCGTGCCAGGTAGGCGCGTCATCAATACTGTTGCATCGCCCGCTGACGGAAATAGAACACTTCTCCACACCGCTCGAGTTCGCGAAGAAGCACTACGGCCTCGATGCGAAGCTCCTCCCGTTCCCCAGTGGCACAGGGCACATGGTCACGGCCCTACAAGCCGACGAAATCGATATCGGAGTTGGTCTTACCGAAGGCTGGATAGCGGCACTGGGAAAAGCACAGGCAGCTAAGCAGGACGCTGGCTTCAGCGTGGTGGGGACATACGTCGAGACTCCGCTGTGCTGGGCCATATCCACAGGCGCCAAAAGGGATGAGCTCAACGGAATACAAGACCTCAAGGGCAAGAAAGTCGGCGTGTCAAGGATAGGAAGTGGCAGCTACGTGATGAGCTTCGTGCTTGCCGACCAGCAAGGGTGGCTCGACACTTCGTCCAACAACCCACCATTCCCCGTCGAGGTGCTGAACACGTTTGCGAACCTCCGCGATGGGGTCAACGACAGCACGGCCGACTTCTTTATGTGGGAGCACTTCACGTCGAAGCGCTACTACGACAACGGCGAGATCAAGCGCATCGGCGAGATCTACACACCCTGGTCCTCGTGGAAGATCGTCGCCGCAAACCATCTATTGAACCCGAAGAACTGGAGTTCGGCACCCAACGCCAGCAAGCCAGTGCTTACTGGGGAACTCGAGGACGTCATGGACAAGATCAACAAGGGAGTCAAACACTTTGAGGCGAACCAGGAAGAGGCCGTCCAGTACATCAGCACCAAGCTCGATTACTCGGAAGAGGACGCGCGAGAGTGGTTGAAGACTGTCCGTTTCGCCAAAGATGTGAAGGGCGTGGACAAGGAGGTTGTCGAGAAGACCGTTGGTATACTGCAGAAGGCTGGTGTGTTGGGCGGCCAGGTTGATCAATCCGCTATGATCGGGCTCGAGCGACATGCGGCATGAAGCTAATTTGTGCCAACCGCTGAATATCATGCCACGCGACTCGGACAACGGTTCGCGCACCGTGCCCAATAGCTCTAGTGTCGGCAAGCACACCGTGCAATAGGATCGCCAGTGCATGGTCGGAACGATGTCAAAGCTCGGAGATTTGGGTTCCATGCTTTTTGTTTGTTATGTACTGCATATCAGTCAGAGCATCCGTCTGCAACTACCAACGCACAAGATGCCTTCACCAGTACCGTCACATCGAAGAGCCATTACAACGCACAAGGCAATGCATTCACCTGTTTCACCTCTACAGAGTGCGACTTCACAGCACCGCGAAGCATTTATACTCGCCGGCAGGTTCTCATGGAGTGCCCTTGGAGATTCTCGCACAGCTACCTGCGCCTCGACCACCGACATTCCACTACAACGGACCCTAAAAGCCTTCGCCTCCGAGTCCAGCCCAACACGAAGAAAGCCTACTTTCGTCAACTTTTCCAGACCACTACCCCCGCAATGCCAAACGGCACTCCAAAAGAGCTAGAGTTATCTCACCTCGATCAGCAGCCCCACATACGCGTGTATGGCCGCTACTACATCATATTTCCCTTTCCGGACATCAGTCGCGCCCATGAAGCAAAAGAGGCGCTGCACAATGGCTTCAAAGAAGTTCTGAGACAGTTTCCATATCTCGCTGGCACTGTGGACTTAGAACCCTCTACCGACCTTCTCCGTGTGCAATACCCCGACCCCATCGATCTCGAAGCCGAGGCACGCCGTATATTCACAGTCAGTTACGACGATGCACAGCATGACTACGATTCGCTTGCGAAGGACGCCTTCCTCCCAGACGAGTTGCCCGCTACTATCTTCTGCCCAAACGAACTGAAACACCACGCTGGATTGGGCGAAGATGCGTATGCCGAAAGAATGACAAGCTTTTCGAAAGGACCTTTGCCAACCTTCGCGGCCCAGGCTACCTTCATCCCCGGAGGTCTGATACTGAGCGCCTGGTGGTATCATGCCGTTGTCGATGGCACTGGCAACGGAAGGATTCAAAAGATATGGTCCGATGCGGTACGAGCTCTCAGCATTAAAAAGAACAAACTACCGCCAGTTCGTCCGCCTGCTAGATACTATCGCGTACCAAGCTACAAGGATCAGCTCCAACCATTGAAGGATATCGTCAAGGAATGGAACGTGGTACCAGACCCGTCATCAGCGCGTCAAGCGCTCGCAACGCTGGTCCAAGAAGCCGATGCAGCAGGCCAGTCTACTAATACACCTGAGAAGCCATTTGCGAAGCGCTTTGAGCTCCGCAAAGGACCGGATGAAGGACCCAATAAAGTCGTTGCCGAGATGTTTCGCTTCTCATCACAAGCTATCGAAGAGCTCCGCAACGAGCTATCTGTTAAGATCGGGAAGCGTGTATCCAACTTTACCGTACTATCAGCTATCGTCTGGGCAAATGTCATACGCGCTCGCTCAAAGTCGATCACGGCTTCGGGTAACACGCAGTCGACCCTTGCCGTCGTTGTAGATCTCAGAAAGTTCCTTCCACTGCCCTTCTCATCCCCGGATTATCTTGGCAACCTGGTGTTGTCCGCTACGCCTACCTTAGATCTTGATGGCGCTGCGGCCTCTCTTGAGGACATCGCAGCCAAGATTACAGATGCTCTGCACGCCATCAACGCGAAATGGGCAGTCACCCAGATCAACAGCGTCCTTACCAACCCTGCCGAAGCGCAGCAATCCCTTTTGAAGTTTCCCAAAGGCCCAGACCTATACATCACTAGTTGGCAAAGGATGGGAGCCGACAGGGAGTGGTGCATCCCAGGCACGAGCAAGTCAAATGCGACTGCTATTCGGCGAGCGGCGTGGGTCAGCGAAGGTGGCATCGTGGTCTTGCCCAGAGAAGAAGACAAAGAAGGACAAGAAGGAGAGCCGTACGAGATCATGATCAGTCTCACAAAGGCCGACATGGAACGATTCAGGGCCGGATTAGAAGATGCTAGATGGTTGGTCGACTCGTCATATAAGCCGGGCAAGGTCGTCACCTGGCGTGACATATTCTCTCGTCGTCTTACCGGATTCGGACTGGCCTACGGTGGTGCGCTCTGCCTCTTGACCGTGGTGATATGTGTGTGCACTCTCTCCCAGTCTGCGCGGATAGCTGGTGTTACACAGGGTCCTGCTCAGGAAGAACTCAGGTAGATAGGCTTTGTTCAGAGTGTCGGATCTTTATAGGTGGTCTGGCATCGAATAGGGAGTTACCCTCATTACGACGAAGGAAGTGAAGAGAACATGGCGAATGCGCCTGTGATGTGGCCAGAGTGGCTACAAGTGCCGAATGTAACCTAAACCAGCATCTCAGGGCGTTCTCAATTGAACTACTCATGCATACTGCACAAACATCCTTTGATGTCTCCATTATTCCTGATACGTGTTGTTTGCTCCCAGCTTCGCAGCAAACGAAATCGTGCCTCGCTTGCGCGATTACCTTCACCGCTCGGACCTGTACCTGCAGTTTCATGACTAAAAGTGACGATCCTCCGCGGCATGCTACCCGCTAGCGCCCCATCAAGCATCGACCCTGAGAAAATCCAGTTGCTACATGGCACGGCCAGCTTACACACCAGCGCCCAATTATTAGGCACTATCATCACTATCGAAATACCCTACAGATTCCCATACAAAACCATGGATCCCGAAAGAGAGAGTTTGCTCTCATACCACGAGACGCAGCGTGAAAGAACACAACAGCTGCTTTCGCACGAGATCACAGCGAGTGCGCAAGCTAATGAAGATTACCCTGTGGATCATGGCAAAGTGGCGTGGATGCAGGTTCTTGGTGGTTTCATTCTGTTCGCGAACAGTTGGGGCTTACCGAATGCATTTGGCGTCTTCCAAACATACTACGTCGACACCTTGATGCCGGAGCAGGATGCGTCGCGTATTGCCTGGATCGGATCGATTCAGCTTTTCTTCACCACTATCGGTTGCTTGCCTGGCGGTGCGCTGCTTGATCGGGGGTACCTCAAAAGTATCATCGCTGTTGGCACGGGCCTCGAGGTACTGGGGTTGATCCTGACTTCTTTCTTCAAGAGCTATTGGGCCATCTTCTTCGCCCAGGGAGTGTGCATGGGTATCGGCAGCGGTTTGATGGCGATCGTGCCTGTCGCTGTGCTAGCCATGTTCTTCGAGAAGAAACGCATGCTGGCTACTGGTCTTGCATCGACCGGTGCCAGTGTTGCTGGCATTGCTTACACTCTCTCCTTACGCTCGCTCCTCCTCAGCGTCGGGTTCGCGTGGGCTGTTCGCATCTTTGCGCTCATCATATTGGTGACCAACGCCGTCGCTTTTGTGGTGATGCGCTTGCAGCTTCAGTACGGTTCCAAGGGCTCCAGCTTCGGCTTTCACCACTTCAAGGATCTGCCATACACGATCTTTGTCGTCGCGTTCACGCTGTTCGTCGCGTCCTCGTTTGTGCCGTTCTTCTTCATACAGGAGTACGCTATCAAACTCGGTGTGTCGAAGGATATGGCATTCAACTTGTTGTCGATCATGAACGCCGCCAATATCTT